AGATTTGTACACAAGCCCAAGCGCATAAACCGGATCTATCAAGGAAACTAGGCACAGCTACCAGCACTGTGAGCTTCAAAAACAACATGTCTATCCAATAGTATACTTTGACTCCGGCACCGCAGCCCACTTCCACAAATGCACTGTTTGCTCAAATATGACATTTTTTCTGCATTTTAATCATCTCTTGACTCAATTTACCATTTTTTTTACAAAATTTAACTTTCCATCTAATTGCTTTGCGTAAAAATGCAACTCCTCCCGCTTTCTCCGGTCCGGTTTTTCGCACGGTAACCTTCGACTTAATCTCCCGTTGTGTGTGTGTGTTTTTTTTTTGTTCCAGAAAGGCAATTCCAGCACCCCTAAATACAGTTCAAAAAATCTGGGATTACTAGCTCCTTATCCGGAGTACGTCACTGTTTTATTTTCTACCACAAACTCCAAAACAAAAAAAAGAACAAATTCGAAAAAACAGTGCCACTAGACGTGCGAAAAAAAAATTTTTTTTTTTCAAAACTGCGAAATCTTAACACATTTGGTATTGTCGCCCCACAAACTTGATGGCTTTGAGAGTATCACCACCAAATAACATTTTTGAGCAGGGATAAATCGCATAAGGATGGTACGCAAAAATTGAATGCTAGGACTTTCGATGGACTAACCACCAAGAAACGGAGCGCTGGTCAAAGCAACTGGAAAAGCTGCCAATTGCATTTTTTGAAAATCTCCGACAAAATACAGCTAATTCAAGCGTTCGAGACTTAATAAATTTATGCAGTTTTACAAAAAAAAATTCTACCCGTCACAAACGGAGAACAAACAACGGTAGTGAAGCAATTACTGATACAATCACAATCAAGAACTTTTTCCTTTATATTATGAGGATAGCGACGATGACGGTGATGACGATGGTAATGACAGCGATGAAGATGATGATGAAATTGATGGCTTTGTTGACGATGGTAATGATGGTGATGATGACGATGGCAAAGGCAATAAGAGTGGTTTAGAGAAACCTGCATTTGCGAATGCAGGAGTTTCTGTGCTAATACAAGGGTTATCACAAGATGCGATCAGTTTTTTCTTTGCTTGCATCATTTTTCGATGTCTTTTGCCTTTCAAATGAGCTTCCCAATTCGCTGCACCATGTATATCGATATTACATTCTTCACAATGATAAATCTGAAATTTTTCCACTGTTCTAGAGATTCTTCTTGTCAGACACTGCAAAGTTACAGTTTGTTAACAGTAATTAAATCTCGCTCTCCCCACATCTGTTGCCGAATTGAACCAGAATTTCATTTAGAACTGGTCACTGGAAAGCAATTTTTTGATCAACTCGGAATTTGGAAAAATACAAAATTTGGAAAATACTATTATTCTTCCTCTACATATACAGATACAAGCCAAATGCACCGGGCTCCTCTTCCCTAATCAACAGTCTCCACTCCATTCACACTGTTTCCACCACGCAGGCGCACCATGCATTCAAGTACCATCCATTACTACTAGGCCACATCCATCGGATGTCAGTCATGCCAGAAAAATGTCCTTTTCATCAAACCTTATTTTTTCTTCTAAAAAGCCAAATAAATGGAAATCATGAATTTTCTAGTAGTAAATTAACCACAAACTTGCTCGTTTTGTATATACCCGGTACTAAGTCCTAAGACCGGGTGCATAGAAAAGAGCAAGTTTGTGGTTAATTTACTACTAGAAAATTAACTATAAATAAAAGAGTTAATTACTTGGTTAGCCAATCGCCGATACACAGTGTTAAACTTGAACATATCCGCACTGCTTTCTTTTTCCAGCAATGAACTGTCATTTACTGTGCAGAGAAACTCCTCGACTATATGCAACACGTTAGGTACTACGACGCTGTGAAATTCTCGCGAAGTGTCCAAGAAATGGATATTCTGCGACTGAAAATGAATTCAAATAAATGCCCATGAAAAAAAGATTATTGCTAAACTGATTCTTTTCTGATGACGATATTGTCCGGCTGGGAAAACAGAGTC